TTTTTTTGTATTCAAATGTTCTTTATTTGGGTTTGGATTCCCAGATAAATCTAAACTAGAGGTAAGCCCGAAGGCACAAACAAGAGGACAGCACGAAGGCATAACAGAGGACAGCCCGAAGGCATAACAGCCCGAAGGCTAAAGGAAAGCCTGAAGGCGTACGAGAGGACAGCTCGGGCGGCAGTAATCAGGACGGCACCAAGTGCTCAAGGCAAGCGGGATCGAACTCGAGTTGGCGGGAAGGTCGGCGGGATCTTGACCACTTCGCTACGGGGACTGGCCCCTCATTGTGAAGTAGCTAGACCCTGACAGAGCAAAAGATGCAGAGGGTCGTGTTGTGTAACACAGCTACGTTTGCATGAATGAAAGGGTCAATGTATAATTACTTTATGGATCATCTAGGAACAGGCATGTATTGCTAGCTAACAGCCACTTTTATCCAACCATCATTGTTGCGAGATCCACTGCTTTGACTGAGATACGGTCAACCAAAGAAGTATCATAGTAACAGCCACTTCCTCCCAGTCACCTTTATTACTCATCCTCCTGCATGTGAACGATTGTCCTGCTCCAGCCCAGCATGCCCATCCTTCAACTTTCTTGATCCGAGGGGATTTGGTTGAGTTACGCTCAAACACAAAACATCATCCAATTTCACAAAAATCATTTTGCAATAGTTATTTGTAAACTGCCAGCTATCAGCCCATTCCTTCCATTCACCTTTTTTACCCAACTCAATGCATGTGAACGATTATCCTGCACCAGCTCATCATTTCCATCATTCAACATCCTTGATCCAAGGGGATTTGACTGAGCAACACTCAAGCAGAGAAGTATCATCCAAGCACTAGAAAGATCAAGTTGATTTCCGGTTCTTCCACTCCCGGCTTCTTCCCTCTTTCTCTCATTCTCAACTGTTGACCCATTCAAGTACAATTACCACCTGCAAACGATTGTCCTGCTTCAACCCATCATGTCAATCCTACAGCTGCCTTGATCAGAAAGTCTTCGACTGAATGGGACGTTCATGGCGTGTACACACTACAACAACACACGAGTCTTTTGACACTACACCTTCTCTTGTATACTACTCTCCTGTTACAACCAAACGCAGCAGCAATCGCTATCAGCAAGGCCTTTACTCCATTGTCTCAAGCTGCATGCACTCTGCTACAATACGCGTTCTTGCACATTCCTCTGCCACGACCAAACATAACAGCAGTTGACGGGAAGTCTTTATTCGGTTTCCTCAAGTTGCAGCAACCTTTTTTGTATCATCTTTATGTGAACAGCAGATAGCCATTGTATAAAAGCAGCTTTATTTATATGTTGCAACTTGCTTTAATACATACGATTTCCTATAGATCTGGATCTGGATATTGCTTTTAGTGCGTGGGATGGAAGGAACTGGATTTAATGGGTTTGGAGCACATCAGGCATTGATACATAGGTGGATCCACATACGCAATGATTCTATTAATCCACCCACTCGCATCATCAAGCCCATCCTATAACAACATGATGATAGGTCGTCCTAATCGGTATGAGCACAATGTGGTCATTCAAGCCATCAAGCTCATTACTAGCCCATTTTTCGCCTTTGGTCAATGTCAACCATATCCATGCTATGTAAAGGATTAATGATTTCAAGTGATGGGTGAATGGGTGATGATGACAGTGACTCTTTGCTGGGGATACACGCGCAAAATGATTCGTACACATGATTCACATCACCATTGATATCTCCCGTAATTTCCAGCCTTGCAGTGGAATTGTTTCATCAGCATCATCAGCATAATTCACACCACGTTCGTCGTAGTACAAGATCCTCCTTTCTTTGTATACATAGAGTCAAGCTTGGTCAATGTATTACGTAAGAAGGATTTTTGAGTGATAGCCGATAGCCTTTGTGATATGAAATGTCCTTATGGTGGAATGATGGACAAAAGCACAATACTTGAAGAGGAGTAGTAGGGTAGGATGAGATGGATAAATAATGTGGCATGTGTGTCGTACAATCCCTCTGTGACAGTAAGGGCCAGGTTCAAAGATGTGTGTATATGTCAGAGGATATCAATGATGTCAAGCGGGATTACATGAGTGGGGGGAGGGGCCGGGAATGGGCCGTGAAGTGGGAAAAGGGTTTTTTGTGTAAAGACAATGATCCTCAAAGGGTTAGAGTTTAAATGATTGGTTCCTTCTTTCCTGATTAGAGCAAGCAAATGTTGTTTCCCAGCCAGCCAAGTTTATGCCCGCCCGCTGTTAAAAACCATTATTTCCGATAACGATCAACCGTTATCTCTTAATTCTTTATCACATTCTACCGCTCTTTTTGAAATCTCTTTCATCAACAAAACGTCAAGATGCCAATTCCTGCAGATGGAAATGATCCGTTTACTACTACCACTCTCCAAAAGTCTTTGGATACTTGTGCCAGTAATGAGGAGGGGAATCAACATATGACATGTCACCCAAAGTGTGGCCACCACTCTTTTATCGAGAATAAGGACGATGATGATGATTCTTTCTCTACCTCCTCTTCTTCCTCCTCTTCAGTCGCATCCTCCTGTGATTCAACCAAAGACTCAAACGCTCCATTGAAACGTCGACACCAATCAACAACCAGCTTGGGCAAACGACTTTTGAACTATCGACGAGACGACGACGTGTGGGTCGACATTTCAAACACGCGATTAGCAAACTCGCGATTAGGGTCGCTGTATGCCGGCTCAAAGTTTAAAGGAAGACAGCAATGCGATACTTCAACATACGATGTTTCAGTTGACATTTTGGCAAGTATTATTACCCGTCAAGGTCAGCAACGTATGGTTAAGATTTAATAACGTATATCATTTTCATGCAGCACGTGGATCTTAAAGAGAGTACTCTTACTGGTTATCTCAATATCAAGGGGCTCACATCGGACTGTAAAGAATTGACTGTAAGTGGTGGAAGGAAAGTGGATGGGTGAATACGTCTCCCCTAACGGCTCATTCATATTGTAGACTTTCTTTGAAGCCGAGATCATTGGTTCAAAGTACTCCTTCCTTACCAGAAAGTGGAAAGCTCAGAAAAGTACGGACTTGTCGCACTGGGTAAGCTTTTTTCTTTCTTTTCACATGCTTTACATCATCCCACGTGATGACTCACGCTGCATGCATGAAATTTCAGAGCCGTTTCCCATCATTCAAGCCGTACAAGGATGTGTTTAGTGATGATGATTTTACATATCGACCAGAGGATGAGGACTTCATTTATATGCGTTGGAAGGAGAAATTCCTCGTTCCCGATCATCGGGTACAAAATGTGGAAGGAGCAAGCTTTGCAGGATTCTATTACATTTGCTATCAAAGATCCACCGACCAGATCAAGGGATACTACTTTTTCTTGCACCAAACACAAATGTAAGATACATAAGAGCCTTACGCATTATATCCAATTGACATCTAATTATGAAATCCCGGGCATAGCGTATCGAGCTTTCAAGAACTCTCTTTGAAACATGTTCAAGAGCGATCCTTTGGCCATTTCGAGCTTCGTTAGTCATTATCCGCATCATCATTAGCATACCCATCATCATGTCATCATTATCCCAATCATCCACACAAGGAGGAACAATTGTAAATACAATAACCGTTTATGTATGAAAATCATTTCACCATACTGGTACTCCTGATGATACTTCCTTGGGCTGTTGTGGTTCTCCTAGCAATGCCCAGCTAAGGAATTCGTATTCTTCTTGGAAATGACGTTTCTTGTTTCCAGTGGCTACAGACGCTGATGGTTCACGTCCAGTGTACTTGACATTCTTGCCTATAAACAACATGATCAATACCTGCTTCTTGGAAGGAACATGCAACCCCATAACTCACCCGAATGATGTTGCGATTGTGACAAGGATAGATCAATTCGTGGCCCAACATGTTGCCATGTACCCATATTCAAAGGCTCTTCCTGGCACCAAATGATCTCTGCATTGGGATACTTATCCACATGTTCCTTGACCTGTTCATAGGGGAAGGGATTGGGTTGTTCGACGCGAGAAATGGCAATGTCCGATAGCTTGTTTTGATCACGAGCACGCAACAATGCATAATACACTTGACCCGTGCATAAAATGTGTTTCTTGATCTTGTCAGGTGACTCGAGGTGTTCAGGATGAGGATCAGGAAGGTACAAATGGAAGTGAGTATCTCCAGACATGTCTTCCAAGGTGGAACGTGCCATTGGATGACGTAGCAATGATTTTGAGAATGCAAGAATCAACTATACAAAAAGTTAGTTACACGAACAAACGTCATATGGTAGCTCCTCCATCTTACCGGCTTTCGGAATTCCCGGTTGATTTGTCGTCGCATCACATGGAAGTATTGAGCTGGTGTTGATGCATAGACCACTTGCATGTTGCAATCCTGATGTTGACGTGCCAACTTTTCGGGAGATGGATAAACGTAAGGATTATCATCACAAAGCTGAAGGTAACGTTCAATGCGTGCCGAAGAGTGTTCAGGGCCTTGACCATCGTAACCATGTGGAAGTTGCAAAACTAAGCCCGTACGTTGTAGCCACTTTTGTTCACCAGCTGCAATAAATTGATCGGTAATGATTTGGGCACCATTTGCAAAATCGCCAAATTGAGCTTCCCAGATAACAAGTGCATTAGGATCCACCAACGAATAGCCCAACTCGAAACCAAGAACACCATATTCAGAAAGTGAAGAGTTGCTGATAGATAAATAGCCTTGCTCTGGTGAAATGCTGTTGAGCAAGGTGTGAGTGCGCTCATTCTTTTGGTCATGAAGCACAGCGTGGCGTTGTGAAAAGGTGCCTCGTTCAACATCTTGTCCAGATACGCGTACATGTTTGCCTTCCAATAGAAGGGATCCCCATGAAAGTGCTTCTGCAGTAGCCCAATCGATCTCTTTGCCTGCTTTGATAGCCTTTTCTCGATTCTGAAGGATACGCTTGAGGTTGCGATGCACATTGAAATTCTCAGGAATGGTTGTCAGTGCGGCACCAATTTGTTGTAATGTCTCGTAAGGTACCCCTGTTGGGTAATGAGGAAGAATCTCTTCAGCCAACTCTTTGGGGGACTTGAATCCAGGCCATGAACTAGAGAGCCATTCACGCGATGTTGGTGTATAATCTTTGCTACGTGAATAGCTCTCCTCCAAAAGTTTCCATACGCGTTCCTTGATGTCTGTGATTTCCTTATCATCCAATGATCCTTCCTTTTTGAGCTGCTCGGCATAAATTTGGGCCACAGGGGATTGCTTGCTAATAGCCTGATACATTTTGGGCTGAGTAAACATTGGTTGATCCGTTTCATTGTGTCCATGGCGACGATAGCAGACAAGGTCAATCACCACATCACGATGGAAAGTTTGACGCCAATCAGCAGCGAGTTGCATAACAAAGATGACAGCTTCGGCATCATCAGCGTTCACATGGAATACAGGTGCGCCAATACTCTTTGCAATATCCGTACAATAAGGCGTTGAACGACCAAAACGAGGGTCCGTTGTAAATCCAACTTGGTTGTTGACAACAATATGAACAGTGCCGCCTGTTGTATATGCTGGAAGATCATGGAAACCCATTGTCTCGTATACCACGCCTTGCCCTGCAAAAGCAGCATCACCATGCATTAAGATAGCCATTGAATGATTGCGATCATGATCGTTGCTGTAGTATTGCAATGCACGCGTCTTTCCCAATACGACAGGATCCACAGCTTCCAAGTGAGATGGGTTGGCAACTAGCGAGAGGTGGACACGTTTGCCGGATGGTGTAGGTCGTACATAATTCATGCCAAGATGGTACTTGACATCACCAGATCCTTCTTCAGAAGGTTCAAGAGCACCACTAAATTCGCAAAAGATGGACTCGTTTGGTTTACGTACGACGTTGCTAAGTACGTTCAAACGACCACGATGGGGCATTCCAATGACAATGGATTCAACACCAAGATCAACGGCTCGATCAATCTAGTAGTGTGTATGTAAGCATCCTTGAATATGAAGCACAAAGGTGAGGGGATTACCATTGCTTTCATGCCAGGGATCAAAGTTTCACCTCCTTCAAGTCCAAATCTCTTTTCGGATGGGTACTTGGATGCCACAAATCTTTCAAAGCTGTCGGACCAAGTCAAACGGTCATAGATGACTTTTTTCTGCTCCACATTGTAGTGATAAGGCGTTGGTGTTTCGATACGTGAGCGAATCCAATCACATTGGGCGCGATCAGGGATATGGATGTACTCTGTACCAATGGAGCCACCTATATAGGGATAACATGAATAAAGCAATTCGATTGAAAAGAATGCAAGATACACTTACAATAGATCTTTTTGAGGTGTTGAATGATTTCACGTAAAGTCATCTTTTTATCCACACCCTCATAACCTGGGAGAATACCAGGACCAAGCGAAAACGTTCGATCCAAATCCTTTTCAGTGAAACCATAAAACTGATACGACAATTCAGGTGGGCTTCCTTCTTGCAAATCAGCTTGGAGAATACCCAGAGGATCCAAATGGGCAATATGATGACCACGCACTTGATAAGCACGCACCATGAGCTGGATTTTCATGTGGTCCAGAATATCCGTATCACTGGCATTGGCTACCACTTCGTTTGGTAGCTTTGGCAAACGAGCACTGCCAGAAGGGACCAATGTGGGTGGTGGAGAGTAGGCTTGGCTAGGTGACATCCCATGCTTCATGTTCTTGAAATAGACTTGCCATGATAAGTGCACAGAGTTGGGATCCTTGAGCCATGCTTCATACATCTCTTCAATATAGCTTGCACCGTTTCCTTCAAGGAAGCTGTCATTGTTGTTGTTGCTATGCGAGCTTGTTGATGAAGTAAAAGGCCGCGATGATAATCGGTGGATAGACGCGCTTGTAACGCGTGTCAAAGTGGTGGCTGGGATAGCAAGTGGTCTGGTATGATAGTGTTTTGTCAAGGACGTAGGGCGAATGAAGCGACTAATGCCGCTGCCCATGTTGACGGCACGATACATGACGAGAACCGGAAAGAGACGCGACGAAGGAAAGAGCAACCAACAAGCTGAAAACAAAGACGAAAAGTAAATAAACAAAACAAAAAGCAGATTTGTTGCTTGTATGCTGGTTGGGTCGGCAACGTCATCCTCCACACTATCCTGCATAATTTATGTGTCACGCATTCTTTCTCAGCCATACTCCTTGAACACACCATAGCCGCTTCATGGAGATACTTCGTCACGCTATATGCCTTAAGCATGCATCATCAGCATTGGCATGTCAACAAAGTTGCGTAGCAACCATTACTAGCATACATGATGATTGGAGCACTTTTGTGATGAGCATGTGCTGTGATGTTCAATAACAAAGAATGAAAGATATTATCGTATCGAAGACTTTCCTAATGAACAATGAGCCATTGGCTGAGTTGGTGTGTCGCTTTTATGGGATGCTTGGATACCACTACGTCCTACTGGTCATTCAATTTGTGGATGAACAACATGTCACTTATGGTATGCACTGTGCACTTTGTCGTCCTTAGTTTGTTACGGGGAGGTGTCTTGTCCTGATAGTGAAGGTGTAAAACGAGCCACCAACAATCTCAGGGTTGACATAAAGCACGCATTCATTTCATTTCCAATCATCCTTTGGCTTCTTTGTTAAATGCATCCTCCATGTCTTTGTATTACGGGAAGACGTCTTGTCCACGTAGTGAAGGTGTAAAACGAGCCACCAACAATCCCAGGGTTGACATAAAGCACACATTCATTTCATTTCCAATCATCCTTTGGATTCTTTGTTAAATGCATCCACCATGTCTTTGTAGATTCATTGTTGCTCATCTACTACCCCTTACTATCATTATAGTTAATTACCAACCATGAATAATATCACCATAGGTAGTGCCGAAAGTTCAAGGTGTGTAATAATTTTACCGAGCTGCATATACTTGGGCTTGTGTATTACAGGTTGTGATTCTCCTAAACCTTATATTCCCCAAACTCGCTATTAAGGAAATGGGCTGTGTAATCTTATGGTGGTACACAAGCTGTGCTGTTGTCACAAAATATACTTGGTATGGCCAATCACCTGATAGCAAATGATTCATATGAGAAAGCAAGATGAGGTTCTTTGGGAGTTTTTTCCCCTTCCCTTCCTTTTCCTTTCTTACACGAATAGTGTGTTGAAAAAATATCCATACGCATGGCACCAGCAGCAGCTGCTATACCGGTGACATCGTCGACTTCGACTTCAACACCATCATCCTCCAAATCCATTGCAGATCTTACGACTCGTTTAGCAAGTGCAAAAGGGGATGTGCCTCCTCCATTAATTGGCGCCTCAACCACACTTGTTAATAATCGGGTCTATGTTTTTGGCGGTCGTCTTACAGCATCAGCACACGTTCAAAACCAATTGTATGTCCTTGATCTCAGCAACGGCGTGTGGACACACGTTGTGCCTAAGCACCAGCAACAACAACAACCAGCTGCACGATACTTTCATTCGGCTACTGCTATTAGCAACCACAGCATTGTGTTTTTTGGTGGCCTAACGATATCTGTATCCAACGGAGGTGAACTACGGTCTCTGGGAGATCTATTTATTTTGCACATCTCGGATGATTCGGAGCAACTACGATGGGAATTCCCCACACACGCAATGGACGATATAACAATTACACCACATCCTCGTCATTCACACTTGGCTATGGCGACCAACCATGATAACCATTTAGTGATTCTTGGTGGTCAAGATGTCAACAGTGGATACATTGATGAGATCAATGTCTATGATTGCAGGAAAAAGACATGGTATCCACGTATAGCCACACAATCTCATTACACATCTTATGAAACTGCTGCAGCAACATTGTTACCAGTATCAGCAAGTGCATCGGCAGCCATGGGGTCTCCCAATTTTCTCAAAGTCTTTAGTGGTGGTCATCATAGTGGACAACAAGATGATACAACAAATGAAGATGGTGGTGATGGTGGAATACAACAACAGCAGCAGCAGCAGACATGGGGCATGGCAACAACGCTATTTGCGTATAGCAATGAAAACATCCATGGGGTACATCGAAGGTTGCATCGGATCACAGTTTCGGCATCAGGACACGTGGAGAGTATCACCGACCACACCTCAGCTTTAAGCACGAGCCGCCAATACGCCCCTCCTGCTTTACGAGCCATGGGCAGTGCTGCATGTGGGCAATTTTTAATCATGTTTGGAGCATGCACAACCTCTGAACCTCACCATTTGCAAATATGGGCCCTCAATATCAGCACCATGATGTGGACAAAGATCGATGCTGGTCCTCGATTGGTACATGGATCATGGCTATGTGGCGTATTTCGTGAACATGCGGGGCGTAATGAACTTATTGTATTTGGTCATCCCGAGGGTGCGTTGCACGAGGACCACACACAAAGAGTTGTGCACTATGATTATTGGGTTACCATTGATACAGAAGCTTTTGGGGTATACAATCCACCCTACCTCACTTGTGGCACATTTGCGCAGGACGCAGGTCTTGCTTTATTGAACAATCCAGCTCTCAGTGATTTGACCATTTTGACCACTGACGGGCAACGTGCACGTGCCAACTCGACTATTCTTGCTCAACGTTGGTCATCGATCCGCGATCACTTGGAACCATTACTCTCGCCATCCGCCTCATCACCCGCCTTTGAAGTATACGCATCATCACCACAGCAACAAGCGTTGCCTGGATACCTTCTCACATTCCCTGAGACATACGACATCTTAATAGCATTCTTGCAATTCATTTACACGGATCACTTGACTACGGTGGAGCAAAATCAACCCCGCATATTGACACGGTTATTGATCCTTGCAGATCTCTTTGATATTGTACGTCTTAAATCATTGGCATCTCACGCACTTCATCAAATGTTGCAAATATCCACAGCACCTTCGATCTATCAAACAGCTGCATTAGCTAATTGTTGGTCACTTCAAGTACGAGCTTTGCGTATCATGGTCAATGCAAAAAAGTTAATGCAACAACAGCAACAGCAACAGCAACAGCAACAACAGCATCCACCTTCTCCAACGGCTATGAAGGTGCAATCATCCTCATACGCACTCCATTCTCGCCCATCTTCACCATCGACACAGCCAATGGATGATCCGTTTAAGAATTTTGGTGCTGCTTCATTGATTGCAGCTACAGGATCATCAACAGCGTATCAACCCCTTTCACGATTGTTGCGCCAATATGATCTTGATGCTCCTTTGCCACCCGTCAATTCACTTGTCCCCGATCCAACGGCTCAACAAACACAAGTACCACCAACATCAACAGCATCTTCATCATCCTCATCACCACCACAACCAGCACAACAACAACAACAACAACCTCCACCTCCTGTTCAAGCAAAGAATCCTGCTCGTAGACGGGAAAACTCAGCATCATCTGCAACACCAACGATAAAAAAGAACTATCGTAATGCACCAGTATGGCTTCCTATGTCATTCTAGAATACCCATTTCTACTATTACTACAACTACTACAAGTGGCAGGTTTCCACGACAATAAAAAAGAAGCTTCATTACAAAAGGAAGGATGGTATATGTATATGTGTCGAGGATTACTAGTAGTAATTATGATGAGGATGCTGGTGGTTCTCTAGAATAATAATCAAATAGACTGCTATGCTTTTTGGAGCTGGGTGCTGATGATGATGACGATGATGGTGTATCACGCTCTGAAACAAGTATTGATCGCACCTCCACTCGATTGAGACATTCATCCACGTGTTGATTGAAAGCTGCATTGTCCAATTGTAAGCTTCGATTGCATATTGGGCATTCGACATTTTCTTGTTGTTCTGTCGGTGAGGGATGATGGGTCGCTGCTTCGGGTTCAGTCTTGTCAGATGGTAAGTGATCCTCCTCTGCTTCCTCCTTCTTCTCCTCCTCCTCGCGAAGCCGCTTTGCAGGTATTCGCCTGAAAAACTATCCAAGGATGTTAGCGATCGGATCGTAAATGATAACATTATAACACTGCATATACCTTTTCCACGCTTCCATCATTACCGATCCTTTCTAAAGATGATAGCTTGACACCCATGAGCCGTAAACTTAGAGGCATCTCCTTTTCTAATAGCTATGTATATACCATACCATCAATACATATACCCTCACATTCCATTGATAGTAGAACATTACCTCTTTGGCATAACGGGCAATGTCGCAAGCTTTATGTATATGGTAAGGTAATGTTTTGGCACGTACACGGACTTCAAATGTGGTTAGCTTGAGCTTGATCCCAACGGTTTTGCCCTGTTCAAATATACGTCTAAGTATAAAATGTGTGATTGGGACACAAGAGATCATTCTCACCTTTATCCGTTTTTGATCCAGATCCTGTGATAACAATTCAGCAAGCTCATCCACCTTTTGAAACAATGCGCTTCGCGTTGAAATCGGCCTAAAAGTCCTATCATAATGGTTTAATCAGCATAGAGAGAAGACTCGTGGAGTTGCAGTACCTTTCAACGCCCATGCTTTTTTGTGATGCTTTTACTTGTACAGTAGTCGATCCCATGCCAAGATGGCTCCGTAATAAAGATTTGAAGGCGACAGGGCTGAGTAAACGATACAAGACAGCTCGACGTTCCTATTTACTCTATTAGATCCCGATGCTAACATGTTGTCATGATGTTGAAACTTGCATAAACATCGCTGCATGTATGGACGCCTAAAGCCGATAAGATGCGTTCGGTAACACGACCAATACCAGGGATCTGCAGTGTTCAATTAGGCTAACAGCGCATATAGAAAAGATTTGTGTTTGCATCTACCTTACGTATAGACAAATCCTTGATAAAATCTTGAATAGCATTGATATCATTTGGCAGATGATATTGGCCATTAGGCTTGTTCATGTCACTGCAAATCTTGGAAAGCATCTTGTTGGCACCAATCCCTATCAAAGCAATGTATCAAAAAGGGGTTCAGGAAGGACCACACTCCTCTTTCAATATATACCAGCACTCGCTGTTAACTGTGTTTCTTCAAAGATTTCTTGACGGATTTGCTGAACCACTTCAGGTGGGCTCATGGTCGTTGTTTTCAAGTACTGGAAACAAAAGCAACAATCAGCCATCATCCCCATTGGTACGTATACCATTTCATAACTTACGTTTGTCAAATTCAAGTAAGCTTCATCAAGACTCATGGGAGCGAAATCAGGATCATACTTTGCAAAAATGGCTCTGACCTTGTTGGAAGCTGCTCGGTACTTGTCAAAGTGGAGAGGAATGATCTTAAGATGTGGACATAGCTTGAGAGCAATATAGCCCGGCATGGCACTTCGCACTCCAAATTTACGTGCTTCATAATTGCTGGTGCAAAGCATAGCTGTGTCTCCAACGGCCATGGGTACTGTTTTCAACTGTGGCTGTTCCAATTCCTCCACTGAAGCATAAAAGGCATCCATATCCACGTGACAAATCACCTGACTAAGATCACGCTCACTTTCAAGTCCACGTATCTATGATATTGCTGTTAAGTTGATAGGTATCATGGTCTTTGTATATAGAAGCATACCATCCTGTCGGTAATCCGCGTTTCCATGGAAAGATCAATGTCCCGAATCTTGTCGTACTTTGCCATCATGCGTTCGATACGCTCTGTTACCATTTGGTCCCTCTTTCGCTCGTTTTCAAAGAATGCTGATCCCTGTTTTACCATTATCCATTAGCGAAAAAAGTTGTCTCCTTCACATTACTTTGCTTACCTTGGAAGCCTCGTAGATGATACGATTCACTTTGTCCTTGTCAACCGAATCCAATCCAGCCTATATCATGCAATGCATTTCCCCAACCACCCATTTCTTGATTAGACAACTTGATAGGTTATTCTATAGCTCACACATACCTTGTTTGTCGAGGGACCAGCTAAACGAGAACGCAAGGTTTGACTCGATTGGCCGTCATTGGCGTCGCTACTTGTAGCTTGCTGATCGCCAGATTCCGTAGTCGCATTCAATAAATGATCAATGGGCAAGTCGTCGTTGTCGTCGTCATTGTCAATGTCCCATGCCATGTCTTGGTCTTCGAGAGGCACCTCGAACAGTGCATTGTCGTCCCATTCTTCGTAGTAGGCGTCGTCTTCGGCCATATGCAATTCAGGGCGTATTAGAGAAAGAGAAGAAAGGAACCACTTTGTTCCCATCCGCAGCATGGTGGTTTATCCAATGATCGCTCTCAAAGCAGTACTTTGCCATCATGCGAAGACCATCATCCCATCACCCAATAAAACAATACACATACTCCATTGGACCCCAAAAGCATATACAAATTGCAGTTTTCAATATGAAGCTCATTCCTGTTGTTATCAATCACGTGATAAATGTTGAATGCTCTAGTGGTATTGAGGCTGTCATCCACTTTAGTTTCCCAAAGAATATGCATGTAACAAGAAACGGATGGTAGAAAAGAATACAGGGCGGGTGATCATCATTATGTAAGCTTGACATTGCGTGCTCGTGTGTGTGTGTATGGGTGTTCAGAGAGGAGAGTCAAGGGAGTCCCAGTAGTTGTAGTACAGGCTTGGTTTTACTTTGTGATCCTGATTTGAAAAGTGCCTGGTATGGAAGAAGCGTCAATAAACCACACATTACATTCTTTTATCCTTGATACTACTTACATTGTGGAAGATTCGATGTTTCTGCTACAACGTCACTTTGTACGCCTAGATTGGCTAGTGCACCTCGAACAATACCACAAGGGAACCAAATGTACTATTTTACTTTGACATTAGCCTTGGATGCCCTAATCCATATATTCAACGTCGTGTTCTTACCGGTGTTGCCTTTTTGGCCGAGTCAGCGCCTCCGATATCTGTCGACATGCGCATAAACCACCGGAAGCTGTTGTCTTGAAGCACATAGACACCCTACCCATCTTATGATGAGTTGTTTTCATTCAATCCAAGTGCATCCATACCACTCACTCACCCTATGATTCGTCTTTAGATTATCGATTTGCTTCTTAAACATGATGGTCCAAAGGTCCTTGCATATGAATTTGACAACGTCCAACGTATCGGCAAATCTCGGTCGATCCTTGGTGAATCTATCAGTAGTAGTAGCAGTATTCAATAAGTATGTGGTGAACAAAGGTAAATGTCTTCAACCCCCTCCCCACCTCAAACATACCACACAATCCCTCCTTGCTTGTTTATACCAACCTTTCCACCATCCTTTGTCCTACAGCATAGCCGAGACTATCCAACTTGTAAAACATAGCTTCGCTATCGGCTTCAGACTCGACTGCCGTCGTTCTGCATATAGTATCCACCATCTCAATCAGGAATAAATCCACGCATGTTTCACTGACAAGACGCTGTTGTGCATATGGGCTGGCGGTTGCTGTGGTTGTGTCTTCGTAGTTGCTCATGATGGTGCACGAGATGTGATAGGAAACGAATGCAAGCAGATGCAAGAAAGGGTTCCAAAGTACGCGAGTTGCCTCTCTCGGGAATTCGTGACCGTGCTAGTAGTCGTACCACTATTCCAGTGCCTGAATCATATCATACACCCACCCTATACGTAGTCATTTGTATGTATATAAAAGTGATCCATCTTTAATATCCAGTTGAATGTGTGATGGATGGGGTATATTATTACATTTGGCAGTTCTATCTGATTTTCATCTAGAGGAGGTATGTCAATGTCCCTGCTGGTACAAATGGTCTGCCAGCTCAACGTAGAATTCGGAGGAATCAAAGAAAGGTTTCTCAGACAAGGAGGGGATGGAGGATCGCCATTTAGGTCTATTCATTCAAACATCAATCATCATTATCAGTCATCGTTGTTCCCCTTGCATCAGCCTATCTCCTCCATAATCATCAGGAGTAATAATAAAAACCCTTTTACCTTTGACCATTCAACTCCCAATGATTGGCATTCAATGTTTTGATATACGTGCCCCATTTAGCACTGGCCACTGAAACAATCCCATCATTGGGTCCTTCCTTTTCGCCGACCACTTGTTGCGTCCACCCCAATAATGTCCATGGAGGAATATGAGTATCGGCACCATAAGAATAATAAGCAACGTTTGGATCATCAGGGGTACTTGGGTTGAAATGATTTTGGCAATAATCAGTTGTCAAATTGGCGTACGCAGGCGTATCAAGCATTTGTATAACTGGATCAAGCAAGTAGTTTGCATAGCGTCTCTTTTCACTAGAGGTTGTAGTAGATGATGATGAAGCAGTAGCTGCTGCTGCCGCTGCTGCTGCAGCAGCCGTCGCAAATCGTACACCGACACCCACATGGTCACGAAACCAATCCATGAGTGGGGAACCCCTGTGTGGGGTTGCAATGGTCGTCAATGATTGAACGTGATAAGGACGATTATGGATATGGGACAATAGACACCGACAATCAAGACCGCCCTAGATAGATCCATGTACCAATCAATGAGCATTTTGTTGAAGGTAACTACGATAAAACATTTACCATAGAATGGGCCACAAAATTGACTTTGCTACCAGAAAGTACCGCTTTAAGAATGGCATGGAGTTCCTGAGATCTTTCCCACACGCTTCCAGTGCGTGGAACTTTGGTGACAATCACCTTGGCACCCAACTTGGCTAATGTCTCTTCAATGCCACCCCAATACCTCACTTGCAGCATTGGAAAAGAAGCTGGACCCCATTTGTCAAACCCATATAAACCATGACAGAGAACAATAGGTGCTCGAGGTGCTCGATAATGCGGGGTCACAGGCATCCACTCGATAGAGTTATTGGGTTTATGGGTTGTAACGGCAGAAGAAGGGGTTGTCGATGGTAATGGTGGGGTATCGTAACGATCGAGAATCACGCCACTTGTCGGATTTTTCAAAAACCTTGGATAAAGCACTCGAACGGTGGTTGCTGCTGCTGGTGTAGGTTGTATCTTTCTGGGAGGTCGCAATAACGCCATCCAAGGCTTGCCTATAAGCGAGTGTCGTAGATTGTCTACTAAGGAAGAGAAGGAAATAGAAACCATATGTATATATTACAGAATGAAAAAGGAATGGGGAAGAAATGAGTGATAAAGCATAAATGCCGAGCATTCATTATGCATCACAATGCCACGTAAATTCAAATCCAGCAAATAGCCGGCACCAATCGTGCTATTGGTGAGCTCACACGGTCCATTGTGATCGTTGATTGGATAATGGGACCATCGCTTCATTCAAGGGAGAGACTTTGGCTTGGCATTATCCCACGCAATTCAACATCAACAAGGGTAACATGTTCATTGTATGGTAAAAAATAGACCGTATTGTATTTGACAAGCAAGCAATCGGACCTTCATGACAAGATTTGAATATATTTCAGTGCTCTAAAAGTAGAGTAGCATTTCTGTAACCAAAGCATGACACTTGCTTTCTGTCACTTTGACAACATCTGCCCACTAGGAGATAACTATATCAAAAGGGCTATGTACTCGATGGGTGCTGAAGCGAAATGATGAAGCGAGATTATACAATGATGGAAAAAATTGATGTGGACATCACACATTTCACAAGAGAACACTTTTAACAACATTGTGCAAATGAGAGCATTATGCTCTAAAATGAAGGAAGAAGGAAAAAGAACATTATCCAAACCCCGACATGGTAGACGCATCCTGTATGGTACGCCTAAGCTTTAAGCAAATTATCATTTTCTTTTTTGAAATGGGGGTCGGCGTCACACAGCTGACAGTGTCAGGCCGCGGACACCTGTGGTCCTCTTGATGGCAAGCCAGAGCAAAAGGACCGGGCGTAAAAAATTAGATTAACAACGAGTGGATCGGAATCCACATTATAGTTGTTAAACTATAAAGAACAGATACTACACTTGATCTTAGCCAAAAGGCCTGAGAGGATGCCGTTCATTGAGTTGCAAGATGGGCGCCTTTTTATAGCTTTTGGGTTGGTGTTGCTGAGTCGGAAAAAGCAATTGTTTGAGTTTGATTCATTGGTACGTCATTGTGGCACAGCTATTTTGTCTTTCACACACACACACATAGAGAATGGGCATGTTGAATGAGAGTAAAAGTGTATATGTGTATATGGGTGATAGTGATCTAACAAGGCTATACATATGTTGGTAACAAGTACACGTGAATCTATAGTACAATGGATGGGAGTATGGGTGGACAAACGCGTGTCAATACCAGATAAGGGATATTGTTATGGTGCTGATGGTTGCAGTGCTGACGTGGCATTTGCAATTTCTGGCGGCAGCGGGTTGTTACACTCCCCCCAAAAGGAACTTCCTCGGTTGCATACGCTTTCTTCTTTCACTCTTTTTTTCCCCAACCGACGGCCATGTCAACCATCAACGTCAATGTCAAGTCGTCAAGCGACAAGAAATTCGTGATTGCGATTGAGACCACCAAGACTGTCCTTGATCTGAAGAATGCCATTGCTGAGCAAACTGAAGTCCCCGCTGAAAACCAACGCTTGATCTACTCGGGACGCGTGCTTAAAGACCCTGAGACTTTGGCTGATTACAAGATTGCTGATGGCAATACGGTGCATATGGTAAAGAGCTCTGGACAACGTAGTAAGTAGAAGTACTCTTATGGTATGAAACGATGGAGATAATAACTTACATTGTTGGCTGGCAACAGGTACCGGCAATGCATCCTCCACTCCTAGTGGCACAGCCAATACGACTTCTACTACTACGCCCAGCACTAACAACAGCACGGCATCACCACAACAACCACCTAATCCATTTGCAGCATTAGCAGGAGGAATGGGAATGGGAGGATCACCTGGAGCTGGAGCAGCAGCAGCTGGAGGCAATCCATTTGGAATGTTTGGTAGTGGATATGGAGCAGGAGCCATGGGCAACAGTTTTGGTGCACCAGATCCAACCTTGATGAACCAAATGTTACAAAACCCCATGTTTGCTCAATACATGTCAACGGTGCTTCAAAATCCTGCTGTCCTTGATACCATCATTTCCAGTAGTCCACAATTATCTTCCATGGGCCCCGAGATTCGAAACATGATGCAATCACCCGAGTTTAGACAAATGCTCACCAACCCTGATATGATTCGACAAATGGCTACAATGGCTTCTGCAATGCAAGGAATGGGTGGCGGTGGTATGGGTATGGGAATGGGTTCTCCTCAACAGCAACAACAACAACAACAACCATCATCTCCAACCAACAACAACAACACCACTACCACCAATGATAATCCATCATCCCAACAACAACAACAACAACCTCCTATGAATCCTTTTGCTGCTTTTATGGGTGCAGCTGCAGGTGCTGGTGGAGCAGGAACAGGAGCACAACAACCACCCGCTATGGATCCTCAACTTCAACAACGTATGGCTGCCATGTTTGGTCTTCCAGGGATGGGTGCTACTCCAGCAGCTCCAGCTGATAATCGACCACCAGAAGAACGCTTCCAAGTGCAACTACAGCAATTAAACGAGATGGGCTTTTGGGATGCAAACAAAAACATTCGAGCATTGCTTGCTACGGGTGGTGATGTTCAAGCAGCCATTGAAATGCTCTTTAGTGGAACCATGTAGTAGAAGAACTTTACCACTTTACGATCCTCTCCCTCTCTCTCTCTCTGTCACATGCACAATTCTCACTTCTACATAGTACACGCTATCCTTTGTTTCCTTGTTTTTTTCTTCTTCTTCTCCCATAGTCTCTATATCTACCATATTTCCACCACCTCCACCATTACCATCCTCCCATACAAGATACACACAAATGCAATTGTATACATTCTCTCTCATTGAATCAAAGAAAATGTTGTTATTGTGGAATACGTCAACATGTTTGAAAGATGCTAACCAGTAGTATCCGGAATTTCTGGAATGCGAACTCGACATCAAATGAGGATGAACCACCATGACTCGCGTTGATTGAGGAAGAGGTAGTAGCTGTAGTCCCACCACTATTGCCACTCGTCGTCGTATTAGGTGTGGTCGTTGGGTGGTGGTGGTGGCCTGTGCTATTCGGGTCCGAGCGTTGTCCACCATAAACAGCATGGCTATCAGGCAACAAAAACTCAACATTGTGTAACCCGCCTCCAAACACCGTTTCAGCCCGATCCACACCTTCTTGAACTCGTTTGTTGCTGCTATTTCCAGAATGCTCATATAAAAAGCCGCGTACACATTTCATAGCCACCTCGCCTCGTTTCTGTAACCATGCAAAATGATGTTGTGGCTGATCAAGGAATGCGGTTGAAAAGTATTGCTCAGGTTGTTCAATAAACTTGTCAGGCAACAGCAGCAGCGGAATCGATAAACTGGAAATGTCATAGCGTGTCGTAATACGCATAATCTTCAATAACCCCTTAATGAGAGGGCTTTGCTTGCTAATCTCGGTCGTTGGTATGGCTACAAGTGAACTATTTTAGTATATCAAATGCATCATCTTTTGGATAAAAATAAACTTACATTCACTATCCACCACCAAATGGAAAATGACTTGAGTGGATGGTAAATTTGAATGACGCGTGATAAAGAAACTGCCCTCTTGTAATGAATCAGGTCGAGAGTTGTAGTCTTGCTCAATCACAGTTAATTGGGTTTCAATGTCAGGAAAGTGGAATTCAGTCGAGTGCTGGCATCTTTCAAAGAGAGCTATTTGTTCGACAAAATCAACATTACTCATTTTGTTTCTTGATGCATGATAAACACACACACACACACACACATACGTACCCTTATTACTGCCTTTGCCTGTTCTATATTGACGCCATCCAAGTGAAGTTCCTTGCTCATCTCGATTGCGATTTAATTCACTAAGCTCCACGAGTACGACCATGGCACTCAAATGATTCGTATAGAGGTTGGTGGATGTCTGAGCCTTGTATGCCATCTCCCTTGTTGGATCATAGGGCATGGGATTGAAAATGTCTGAGCCAGCATCAGCAACGAGTAAACGAAGATTGTGTGTCGATTTGATTTGGGCAGGGCCGAGACTGATGGTGAAGGATTCGACTGGTTGTTGTGCATTGGCAATGGTCCCTGTGTGCGACGATCCAAATCGGGGATCACTATTAACGGCGTTAATGTGGACGTTCTTCCTTTGGATCATCATCAATCTACCTACCTTTCATCATTATCCATAAAATTCTCCATAGCCTTGCCGAGCCATCCACCCAATTTACGAACGGAACTTAGGTTGGTATTCTCCATGACTTGCTTTTGTTGTTGTAGGAATGAAATTGGGCTCCATCCCTTGTTGGTTGCATTACTGTTTCTACTATTCGGAGACATCCCTCGTTGTAATGATTGACGACGGCTTCCTGTCACTGCTATATCGTTCAGCGAACTCGTACGTGAATGAGCTGGCGACGTGGTTGCACCATTTCCATTTCCATGTTGACTAAGTGAAGATGAACGTCGCTTGGCCTGCTGCTGTTGGTGTTGCATAGCTGTATTGACCTTGGCTGGATCTTCAAGTAACAATGTCACTGCATGCTCCATGATATGATTCGTTAATCCAAGTGCCGTCTCAGCTTGCTCCTTTGTAAATCCCATTTCTTCAATATCCCGAACCATCCTTTGAAACTAATCCATGTATATGAGTTCATATGATTCGTGGTATTGTAAATGTGATTGTTACCTTGTCTTTGCCATCGGAAGCAGGTGATTGTTGATGATCGCCATTGCCTGATGTGGATGTGGATGATACATGGGACATGGCACTGGCAGAGGAATCTTGTCGAGGACGGCGATGATCTTGAGGCGATCGATCATTCAAAGGGCTGTCAACGCTCTTTCGTACTGAAGTTTGACGCACACGCTCAGCAGCCACACTGACTATGTCTTTGCCATCCAAATTCTTCTCAGCTTCGAGTAACACGTCTTCCGGCTTGAGATCCTTTTCATCCGATAGAGCGGCCAGTCTTTGCTGGTATTCCTGATAGAGTTCAATGACGAAGGAGCGATATTCTTGACGCTGAGTTTGTTGTGTCTGCAAGATGTCGGATGCCCATGTTGCTTGAAAGACCTCCATATCTTCCACATGACGTGCGAATAAATGTGTCATATTCATTTGTGATGATCCAGAAGCTTCAATCTCACGATTGTGTCTATATTCAAGTAGTTGAGTATCAAATGCTAGGGCAACAACTTGATAGAATGCAAATACCTTTCCTCAATTTCAGCTTGTTCCTTTCTACATGCCATGTATCTTTCTTGAATCACCATAGCATAATCTTGTTCTAGACCCAATAATGTATTGTACAAGGCTTCAATTGGACAATGCACAAGAGTGTGGTAGGCACGTGGAAAGATATCCTTTAGACAGCATTTAAAACGCGTGTTTTATGCGTATCCCTCCCCTCTTTGATGGCTTACTTGTTCTGGTTGGTTGTGGTATTGGAGTGTATGGTCCTGGTATCGACTGATGAAATCTGATCTAGCAGTTGGCTTTTTGGACGTTGTTCGATCGGGTGTTGCTGCTGCTGTAGCTGTCATGAGCACTGAGAGGATGTTGGACGACAAATACGAGGGGATGCCATGTTTTTTGATGCAATGTGCGACGCAATCGTTCAAGTTTTGTCCTTCGGTGAGTTGCACGTGGATGGGCTTTGCATTGTTGCCGAGTTGAATAGTAATGTTGGCTGTGCTTGTTGCTTGCATAGGAATAGGGTCAAGCTTAAAAGGGGCGCAATGTCCGCTCAGCTGTTGGGATGTGGCGGGTGTTCACAAAGAATGCAAATCCAAGCCTTGGCATAATGACATTTCAGCCTTCCGATACTTGGATCGACATCCCATGTTGAGTAATGCCATTCCTATCATTGTTGTTGTATTGGGTCATTCATTCATTCTTGGATCGATCAGCCTCCTCTCATCCCACAACTGGCAAGAGATGTTTATTCTAAGCAACACTACTACTACTACTTCTACATCTTCCATATCGGCTCTCAGGATCCCACCGGCCTTAAAATATCATCCCCCATCCGACACATCATTTCTATCGAAAGAACCTTGACAACATGTTGTAAAAATAGAAGGAATATATAAAAAAAACTCTCCTTAGTCTGCTTTGTTGGGTAAATGACAATGATGCATTAACAACCAGGAAGAACAAAAGGGGGTGGGGTTATTTGGTTTGGGAAAGCTGATGACGATGAACAAATGGGACCCCATGTGTGCGTGTGCATTTTGTTTGTGTCCATGTTGCAGCAATAATGCCCATGTCGAGAATGAGTCAGCAACGGTGAGTGAGAGATTGGGGGGTTGGTGTTACATGTGCATACCGTTGGATTGGATATCTTAGTTGTTATCAAGGCCAAGGAAAAGTTGGATGTTTTTGGAGCCGAAGTAGTAAGCGGAGATTAACAAGAGACACAACATACACGCACACACACACATTACACGCACAAGGTGGAACAATGGGTTTCGTACTTTGTAGCAACATCATTAGCACATAAAAAGTTCCGACCCGTATTTTTGGCAGATCAGTCTCATATATATATTGTCATCCTTCTATCATCCTTCCTTCTTACTCTCCTCCTTGAAGACAACAATCACGCTCATGACGCCGTGTCTACATCCACCACTACCACCTACACTACCGCTCCTTTCTTGCTCAAGCTCATCACAGCTTGCAGATCTTTGTGCCCTATTGGTGCCTTGCATATGGGCTGGCTCATTCAAGCACTGGCATGCAACACCGTTGTCAATAACGACAATGCCAATCATAAGCACAAAACAGTATACCACATTCAAGACGTTTTGTCATAAGCTACTCAAGGCAACCCAAATCTCATGTGCCTGTGTCATGATGGCTCTTTGGTACATTCATCGCCTTCACACCGCGTATCCATCTGTACGTGCATCTATGGGCTCTGAGGCACGTTTGTTCACCACCGCTCTTGTGCTTGCAAACAAGTTTTTGGATGATAACACTTACACAAACAAGGTATGTGTATATACACGCATATGCATTGTAGTATAACCTAGACTAATATGCATGTCACATGGCTTTTTTTATAGACATGGTCAGATGTTTCGAACATTCCTGTGCAAGAACTCAATATTATGGAAGTGGAATTTCTATCAGCACTCGATTACAACATTTACACCCATCATCAACAATTCTTTGCATGGGTTGCACAATGCCAACAATACTGGCAACGACAACCAGCTGCTGCTGCTGCTGCTCCTGCACCACCAGTAGTAGTGCAGCCCCAGCAACAAGCTCAACATCAGCACCATCATCATCATCATCGTACACTGAAAATGCCGACTACCCGGGTGAAACCCTGTTCATCATCATCAACATCATTCATGGCATCATCACATTCCATGCCAAACATGGTGTTCACCAAACGTCCCCATATTCCATATCACCACCATCATCATCAACCCTATGTTGTACCACCAGTACCAAGCAAACGTAATTTTACTACAAGTCGCCATGTCCCATGCACTCCACCTGATGAAGTGTTACCCTATCATCTCTGTCATCATCCAATCACGGCAACAACATCATCCGCTCAAGTAGCGGCAGCTGCTGCAGCAGCGGCAGCAGCAGCAGCAGCAGCCACGGCAGGATCCACCGCTGTACCGGCAACCCATTATCCGTTGACACCGCTATACACACCCCAAACACAACAAGATTCCCGCTACTCAGCGGCTGCACCATCATCATTGCACTGTACAACCATTCATCATCATCATCATCCATCATCATCAACAACAACAACGTCCCAACCCATTTTGAGCTGGTCCTCATCCACTTCAGCCTTGGCATCTTCTCAACAACAACAACAACAACAACATAATAACGTACATACAACTTTCCATCATCAGCAACCCATTCTTTCCGCTGTCCCTATCCATCAACCTCCATCGCATTTGGCAAGTCGTATCCGATGTTTAGAAATCGACTAGTTGAGTCGATTTTCTTTTTCTTGTATATATATCCATAGACCATATACACATCTTCTACGTAATAAATGATAACCCAAGACCTTGTACATATACGAAAATTAGTCTGTGGACCAAATCTTTATGGTATCGTGCGCCCTTTATCATTGAGTCGAGACGACGTGGATGGCCATCGATTGATTGTGAGAGAATCGGAAGCTGACATCACGTGGCTGGTGATCAAAAAGAAAATCCAGACTAATGAACAATGAGCTGTTTGGTACCCTTCATCGGTTCCAGGGAAAAAAAAGATAATCACCGTATTGGCGGGTCTTTTCAAACAAACGTCATGATAGGTCCTGTGTCACAACGATGGCTGTGCCCATGTTGCCTTCTTAGAGTCCTTTCCTAAAATGATGGGTACCTTTGTCGCCCCCATTATTGGCGGTGGTTGGATGAACACACAATCACCCCAAACAACCATGGTGGCTATTAGTTTGATGCAACAACAGGACTTTTCCAATCGCTATTTCAATGACTGAGAATCTCTCGGCACGCAATTCCTTTTTCTTTTTTCAACTCAACTTGGAGATTGTGTACCATCTCGACTATCACGATGTTTCATTCTTCAATCACCAAGGATGAGTGCTAATATACATGAAACATGCCATGTGCAACCATCCCTCCATGCATCCAATAACCGTTTCAAAGACAAGGCATGTGTGCAGTATCATCATGGTCATCCCATCCCAATTCATGCAATGCACACTTTCATTGAGATGTATACAACACCCCTGAGTTTATTCTATAGCATTGGTTGGTTGTAGTAGAATCGATATCATTGTTGCGGCAACAACAACTTGATCACACACGTTTTCCCAACACGACATTTCCATCCTCTTATGGTCCCTTAAAATACAAAAGCGTGCTGAGTGCAATTACTAGATAGGATGAATTGCTCTATAATGCTGAACAATGAATACTCATTTATGCGAAAAAACATCCTTTGAATAAAGTTGATAGGGAGGATATAAAAGTAGATGATGCAGGGGATTATTTAGCGGCAGGTGCAGTCCAATCTATCGATGCTTATGAGTCCATCATATTTTCATTCTCATTCCTGATGCCATGATGGCTTCTGATACACATACCAGGGAAACAATCCTTGACAGTTTTGCTATGCTTGTTCTCGGCATGTTCTGACAACCTAGGGAAAAGGAGATCTCTCAGATACACTAGGCTCCAAAAAGTAACTGATGCTTCCTTACTGCTTTTCACGGGCCGTGCACAAGAAGGTCTGACGACACTGGACACAAATGATATTCTTGGCTGCTGCATTCTACAAAAAGAAAGAGTCGTGTTGGGAATGACGGGAATCGAGTACACACGATTGAACAACGTACCACTTTGAGTTGCGAGTTGGCTGCCTTGCCTGCTGCCTTTGCATTGCGTTCACGACGCATCTGTGCCTTTTGACCCTGTACATTGCCGATCCCTCAAAATTAGTGTCATTGTGATAGTGGGTGTTAGTATTCAAGACTCACGTTTCCCATGGTTGTGTTTTGTGTAAATAAAGAGGTGGAGAAAATTTATTTATTGGGCGTCAAGAGGTTGATGCCTTTTTTAGCCATGCAAGAAGTGTTCCTGTGGCGCAGTATTCGCCGATCTTTGAGTGGAGTAATGATCATATGAAATGCTTTGATTTGACAAGAGAGATTCGGCCATTGCTTCATCTCCAATAATGGATCCATGCTCATCAAGTACTACTTTTTTGCCTGGGAGCGCTGTTGCCATTTGGCTTTGATAACTATGTAGTAAAAAGGATAATACAATGAATACAAAAAACAACATTACTACTTTTATGGGATCCCCTCCTCCTCCTACATACCTTCCACAATCAAATTGCCAACTAGGTAGCCATTGTTGTTGCTCACAGGCTTCACGTGTCCAATCCTTGCCATAAGTCAATGCGTCAAATTGGTAAAAGATAGCCATAACACCAAGGGAGAGTAAGAGCACAGATATGAGACGTCTACGTGGTGTCGCTCGTGCTATTGCTAGATCGATAGCCGTGGCAAGAACAAGTATAGCAAAATACAAGGCTGGTAGATAATGATGGAGAAACAATTGTCGGTTCATCAAATAGAAAGGTAGATAATGAAGTGTCCATGCCATCAAATAAAACCCTGCTGAATGCTCAAAGAATGCACGACGCCCTAATCATTGGTGAGCTTCCATACTATATCCTCCTTTTTGTTTACTTACCTTTATAGTCATCGGTGTATCCCAATTTCGCACGTACTTGGAAGAAAACCCACAGGATCAAAAAGTTGAAAACGGCCACAGTGGTCATCCAATAAACGATCGGATTGCCGAGGAAATAAATATGCTTGCCTTGGTTCGCCCAAAATGAGATACCACGTCGAAGCATAGGCCATGCGGATGGGCGTGATTGATAAGGATGAGACTGAGTAAGACCTTCATTGACTTTCCACATGACTTTATGCAGCTCGATAAATTTCCCCCAGAAGCCAGGAACCAAATAGTTGACCATGCGCGTGTCATCAGGCACTACAACCACAATAACATGTATATGAATACACGTATCATCGTTCTCCCATTTCCCCAATAATACTTACGCAAGTCATTCCTTGTCTCTTCGATCATCCACATGGTCTTTGGCTTTTTACTTTGTTGCATGCATGTCACTTCTTGCTGACCAAAACCCCAATCCGGTAACTGGACTTCATGCGAAAATAGAGCGCAAGACTGTAACATGTGCACGAGTCGAAAACGTGTGCGTAAGGTTTCAAGTCGTTCCTTGGGCTCGTCTACGATCTCGACTCGCCACCAATCATTGGCATCACCTTCAAAGTTGGGAAATCCATAGCCACTGACAACAATTTTTAGCCAATGCAGCCCCTCGTTTTCAGGCACATTCGATCCACACTCACCTCACTTCCTTATGGTACTCGACATCGGTCATGGGTGCTGATTCATCGTGGCTATGCAGTTTACGTGGACTTGTAGCAACATGTTCGAGTCGAATGATATCTCCATGACGCACCCATTGAAGCCAAGTCGCATTATCCTTGCCTAGTTTATCAGCAGGTTCATTCTGGGCATCCAATGTGCTGTTCAACTTGCGGATGGTCCACCAATTGTTCTCATCTCGATAGGGATAAAGCGTGATTTGTTGTTCTATTCCATATACCATGTTAACCTTTAGGCCATAAAGTTATGTGTTATGATACATTACGTTTGCTTCCTGTTTGATATGCAGATGGGTGGGAATGTAAATAGCCTCCGTTGGTTGATAGGTGACGTAAAGTAATCTTGGAACCATACGCGACATCTAGTCATGAATATTGGTTTTCCATGTGTGGATGGATATGTGTGGATCAAGTATCATCGTACCAATAGGAGAATCGGGTATCTCGTTGCCTGCGAGTGAATGTTGAAAAGCTGCTGACATGTGTACATCACCATCGCCCGAATGTGGGAGCATCCTTAGATGAACATAGAATACGCTGATATAGATGGAGAGTGGGAGCAATATCAAACAAAGGATCCTAGCCGCAAAGTGACCACCCAATGCTTTCTATACAAAAGATGTGTCAATAGGGCTTTTCTTTTGTATACAAAAAGTCTTTACCTTGGATACTTGTAAATCGCCTAGTATTCTCCAGAGATCCATCACCGTCGATAAACCAATCGTTGCAATGGTAAACAAACCAACCCATTTACAGCTCACAGTGAATCCAAGATTGACACCTGTCAATGCAAGCCAGAGCCACCATGCTAACCGAAAAGGTCTATGTCACGTGTCTCTTTAGTGCATTGAGCTTTTTGAGATCCAACAAGAGTTACCTTGAACGGTGATAAAAGAACCTGTTCCAGCATAGAATCGTCATTGCAATAAAGAACAAGAGGTAGACATCAAGCAAGATCAGACGACTGTTGGTCACCAGGCTGTTTTCTAATATTAGAAAGCGTAGGTCAATGATGGGATGATGGACACTTATTGTCGTTGAGCAGCATACATACCATAACACACCGCCAGAGCTGCAAATGCAGATGCATAAATGGAATGACCACCAAATCGCAAGGTAAAATAGGCAATGGGTACCAGTAATGTGCCTAATAAAGCGCCTTGTGCACGCATGGCAACGTAGGGAACATGGCCTGCGGAGTAATAACTGATAAAAAAAGAAAAGGTTAGATGGAAACCAAGTTGCATGGCATGGATACTTACTTGCCAATTCGACTAAAATCAAAGTCGCCTTGATAGCCGGCTACTCGACCTGCGAGCGCAATCAATATCTTTGCCAACTACAACGAGTGATCAATGTTGGTATCATTCGATGGGTCGTCGTCATTGTCAAGAATCATACATACAGGTGGATGCACATCGAAAAAGAATCGTTCTCGAATATAGTGATTTGCAAACGTGCCAAAATGGACTTCATCGAAGCTATAGATATGGGTTTAATGCATGGTTTACGCGGCTGAATAGGGTCTACTTACACGACTTGGGATGGGCTGTCAAGGTTTTGCATGCGAGTAGGAAATGCCAGAGCAAATAAAAGAATGGCCAATACACCATCGCGCATGTTGATGGGCGGTTTAAGATCGGCTTTGCATGTTGGTTTATGGGGTGTGGATGTTGAGTTGTTTTGGTTGTCAATGGCAGCAGTGGACGTGTTGCGATGTTCCAAACTGGGCATGTTATTGACGAAGAAGCAAAATGTCGGCTTAATTCGATTTTTATTAGGTGCATGATTCTGTGCCTGAAAATGGCATACCCAACAACAGCAACAACAACCTCTATTATTTGTAATTACTAGACCATTAGATACTATACATCAATAAGGTGGATAACCAGGTTGGGGTGGATAGCCTGGACCAGGAGGTGGACGAGGTGGATAACCAGCACCTGATGGTTGAGGAGGATACATGGGTTGCTGTGGTGGTGGCATTGGATGAGGTACAGGCTGATGATAATGCTCGGGTGGAAAGTTTGGTAATGGCTTTCCTGGATGACTAGCAGGAGAATAAGCTATATAGAATGCATGATAATTAGACATCAATGTTGTATGTATAAGGGATTAATAAAGGCACTCATTTACCTCCTCCATTGGGATAAGGTGGTCTTTGATTTGGTGCAACAGGTCGATAAGGTGATGAAAGCAATGGTGCACCTTGAGACATTGGTGGTGGTGGTGGGCCTGGAGGACCTGGATGATATGCTGCTGTTGTCTGTGGACTAAAAGGTTGTGGCTTTGTGGTTGATGGGATACTAGATGTACGCCATGTGTTGCCTACAGATACTGAAGAAGCACTTGCTGATGAAGGTGGTGTCACTGGTGATGGTTGTACAACACTCGCAGGAAGTGGTGCTGGACGAGCATAAATGGGTGGTTGACTAGTGGTTGTTGCTGGAGGAGGAGGAGGTGGTGGTGCAGCAAAGCCTCCTGGTTGGTTCATTGGTTGTGGTTGTGGTGGACGATGAGATGGATGAGGAGGAGGGCCACTGAATGATACTGGTGGTTGTGGTGGAAGAGGACGTGGAGCAGGGCTCATATGTACTGTAGGACCTGGTGCTGTTCCTGGTGGAGGTGGCATGGGTGGACGTGGTCGTGCAGGATATTGTGATGGCATTGGAGGACGTGGAAATGATACACCACGACCCATATGAGGTGGACGTGGATGTACGAGACGTGTTGGCTGTCTTCGTGGTGGCGGGTTCTAAGTATTGGATATATTAGTGGAAAACATTCACGAGGCACACACACATGTACAACTCACCGCTGAATAAAATGTCAGCTCCAAATATACATCACCCGCTTCCTTGCCACGTTGACTCAAAGGTACCCAATCTGCCAAGGAAAAAAAACATACATCAGCTCTAAGCCTGGTCACCAGTCTCAATTGATCTCTATCCAAACTTACCATCATCCTCGCCTTCTTTAAGTACCTTGGTAAGATCAATTTGTCCTTCGCAAATGATTTGGTCTCCTCGTTGTGGATCCTCATTCAATACTTGCACAAACATTTGACTGTAACCGTGTGGAATAGGCATGTTGACCTACAATATCCCATACGTTGGTAACTCAATTCCAATATAATGATGCATGTAGTGCCATTACCTGATCGTCCCACATGGGGTTTCTTCCTCCACGAGTATCCGTCTTGGTCCTTTTTGCTACATTTGCCACCTTGAATACACAAAACGGTCTGAAATTGCCGGGGATCTAAAATGAGAGTATATCATCAGTGCACAGTTGCTGGCACGGCAAAGGTAGGTAGGTAGGTAGGTAGTGTTGCAAAAGGGAAAAGGAGTGTACCTTTGGCAAGTTTTCCTACAAAGAGTTCAAATCGTCAACGCATGTCACCCGACCAGAAGAACATAAAGACATTACTGCTTCAAGAGCCACCACCGCTAGTTCACCAATCAAACGTGGTTGCGCCATGGACTAAATCGGGAGGAAAAAGAAAGGGGAAACAAGGATTTCATTCATTGCGTTGTTGCTTTTCCATAGTCCGCGGATGACCGAATATGGATACCATGTGTTCCCAGGCTTCCGGTCGTCGGTCAAAGAATCATAATGTTTAATGAATTTGCATTGCATGGCTGCTACCTTATAGAGCATAGTGTTCTTGTGGCATTGAACCCATTGTATGACAATTGACTACTACCACGTCTACCTTATCTCTCATCCGATGGCTTTGTTCTTGTTAAGAGGGGATATGAAACAAATTTATTTGCGAGTAAGAGTGAACGTGGGGGTGTACATGTGTATAAATGTGTCCGTGTGTGTGTGTGTGTGTCTGTGGGTCTGTGTGCGAGTGTTTGTGCGCGCGTACGCATGGCAAATGGAAAAAAAGAGACATAGTCAATGATTTAAGCATCTTGCTTCTTGTCCTCTTCCTTCTTTTCCTTATCATCATCAGCCTTCTTTTCACCTTCACCAAGCTTGACATTCTCCTTTTGAACCTCTTCAAACTTCTCCTTGAAAATGTTGGCATTCTCAGAGTTGGCAAAACGGATGGCAAGAGTCTCGGCCTTGGCCTCACCGTCAGACACATCAGCAAGGACGTTCCAAACCCATGAGCGGTCAGAACCAACGTTGGGTGCAAGGGACATCTCACTGGTCACATAGTGGTTGGCGCACACCTTGTGAGTCTTATCACGACGCATCAGCAAACGGATCTTCTTGCTTTCCTTGTGCTGCAAGAACTTGACATCACCAGTACCACGTTCCTTCCACTCCTTGAGTTGCTTGTCATATCGGAAGAGCTTGGCACGCCTAGTAGAATAGACTATGGTCAGTTGCCTGGTATACGTCATCTACCTCGAATACTCACATCTTGAACAAGACATCCTCATCTTCTTCAAAGGTCTTGACTTGGACTTGATCCAACTTGACAACGGGTTCAAAATGGACATCGGGGGAGGGCTCAACCTCTTCTTGCTGTCGGGATGAAATGAAACCAAAATGAGCTTACTGCATCGGCACCATGCGATCCTCCATGTTGTTGCGAAATGGGGTTCTTTTGAAAGATAATCGGATACATCCGAAAAGAACATACCTGCTCTTCCTTTTGGATAGTCTTTTTCTCTTCGGTATCGGCCATGATGATGGATGGATGAATAAAGATGAGTACGTGGATGGAGGCGCTGGTTTAAATGATCTCTATCCCACCCAATCAAATCGCCTCTTGTTGTTTGTACCTCTCGTTGTTTGACGTACCTCTCGTCATGCATGTCATTCTGCCTTTGCATGAGTATAATTTGGAATACGTATAGTGCATTGGATTACATGGTATTTCTTATTGAAGATTGTGTGTTGGACCGCTACAATTCAGATCACTTAGTACTGTAACATGGTCACGTCTATGGCTGATACCACTTTTTTGCCACGGCAAGGTATATTGAATGGGCGCTAGTCCTGAAACTCAATGGATGCACACTTTATCTCTCAAGGCCGATCCACTTTTATTGTATCAAAAAAGCTTCTTCTAAACCCGTTAATCGAACCACCTCTACTTCTTTTATTCAATCGAAGCTACATCAATCCACAAAGAAACAAGAAGTTAATGAGCTATAATAAATCATGCTTCTAGCTAGCTGATATTGATTGGAGACATTCAATGGATCCCTTTGTGCAAGGTTTGACTTGCAGCATAGCATCATTGCAACAAAGTATATCAGTCATTAATGTGTATCATCTTTTCAATATGGGTAGAGGGCTTTATGATTTGGCTCTCTCTTGTGTATCCATACGTAGCTGCTGTATATGAATAGCAGGTAGGTATCCATGGCAACGTTTCCTCTTTCTCACAACACCAACTCAACACCGACTCCTCCAGAGCACTCACTGGTGCCGTTTCCATCAACAACAATAACGTCAATGGTGAAAGAAGCAGTCGTGGAGCGTGTCAAACAGCGATGGGCGATCCATATTCTTCCTCATTGACCAAGAGAGTAACTACGATCTACCCATGACTGGAGCAACACAACAGGTATGTCCAAACACTTCTTCCTGCCCTTCTCATCAAACGGCCAGAATGCTAACAAGGTATGTATCGTTCATCCCCTTTCACAAGTTTCAAGGTACAATGTTTATTTGATGTAAGGCGTATCTCACTTTGAACTCATTACGTTGAATGGTCCCATGGCGATGATCACAAGGAGTGCGTTTACATGGATGATGCTGATGGTAATGGATCAGCAAAAGCAATGATCGAGCACGCAACATGGACGACATAGCACGATTCATCAACGATTTTAGGCAATGATCGATGATGGAGGTATCAAACGGTAAGGTTATTACACAAGAAGGCACAATGTGTTGGTGATCGATCGCCCGTGGTAGATGTATCTTTCTATGCCAACAAGGATACCGTGACAGGATCAAAAACAATTTGGGACGAACACCTTGCTTATTCAATTATGGTTGTCCTTTGCTCAGACGAGATTCCAAGCATGGAAACAACAGTGATCAAGTTGTTGATGATTTGACCTTGGTGAAAGGATGATGGCCTCCATGATTGTATAATGTAGCTATTAGCATGAGAGTGGTTCTAGGAAGGATGATAATTTCATAGAGCGTCAATAAAATGAGATGAGCTGCTGGAATTATTTGACTGGTGCAAATACATTCATTATTATTACCAAGATGCTGTGTGTAGGATGGATGATGGGTGGATGAAAACCAGTTTACATTCCAAGCTTCATGCACTTTTACAAAAGATACTTTCGTACCCATTGATCATTTTTGGCTCATCGAGCATGTCATGGTTAACATGAAAAAGATTCCACATGGGCTATCATAGGCGGACCTTACTGTAGACACATCGTGGATACAGGTGCTTCATGCATCTCTCCACCAATAGGATCACCCTTCAACCTGCCCCTTGGCTTTGTGAGACCAACAAGCCCTTCTGCATCTTGGACTCTCTCAGGGTCTAGCTACTTGACATTGAACAAAGACCACCTTTCATATAGCATCGTGCATACATCATATGTAAAACATAAAGGTACTTGTATCTCTAAACTTTACAATGAAACGTGGGCTCTTTAATAGATCAACGTGCTTGTCGGGGTCCAAGGAATCTTGTGTCAAAGTATGAAGTTCATCGTGGCCAATCCCAGATTTCGCAATGTCACCACCAGCCAAAGTAGATCCGGGGGTCGACCTCTTGAAACTTTTTTCGACGACCAAAAAATATTTTTTGGGCTGTTTGCGACATTGGACGTGAAACTTTCACACCAGGTGCTGTTGGCCAAGCCGAGCCCATTGCTCTAATAAAAACCACACATTTCATTGTAAAGTTCGGAGATACAGGCACCTTTATGCTTGTAAGCGTGATGCTATAGAAGAGTGGTCTTTGTTCATTGTCAAGTAGCTGGACCCTGGCAGAGCAAAAGATGCAGAAGGACCTCTTTGGGTAACTCAGCTA